ATCCATTATAAATTCCACCACTAGGAACTATACCAATGTCTCTACTATAGAGTCCCACCTTCGATGATCAAGACGAGTCATCTCCGTTAGATAGTAGACAACATAACAATGTTAACATGACTAAAGTGTCCAAAATTATTCTCTCGATCGCGGATCATGTATTTAGACTGTCATCTTTAAATTCATGTCTTTTGTATGTTCTTCTCATTACATGTATGATTTAAATACTTAGATCGACAGTCTAAAACTTTCAGTTTACTTATCGTACGTTCAACTAATATGAACATAAAGAGGACAATACATACATATATAAAATATATAATAAACTTTATTAATATCAAAATGTCATAAAGGCATTGTTACATTTATTCCTAAGAGTATAAACTCTAACAAGAATGTTGGAGAAATGGATACGGTTATCAGAGTTACAGCGCAGCGGAAGTTTTAAAATTTTAATGCCGAACAAGGAAAGAAGACTCATGATGTATATAACAATAAATTAAATGCATGATCAAACATACCTTGTTTCTTGGACTCCAAAATATTTAGAGCGTCCACCAACGAATCTTCTCCACTATTCTCGAGCTCCTCGTCTTAGAGTGTGTGTGGACACACGTGGTAAGGTTCCAAGCGATCGGTATTGCACTACGAACCCTAGATCCCGCTTTCTCAACCTTAACGTACTTTGTTAAGATAGCGATCTAGATTCGTCTTCAAAACTTCAAGACAGGAACAAGTTGACCTCGATCTTTTTCACTCGATAAAACCTTTCCTCTTAGTTTTGATTCAATGGAAATTTCTCTCTTATTTTTCCTCACACCATGAACGAATTCTTAAGTCCAGAAAATCCCAAAAAATGTTTTTCCCTTATCCTGAAGAAAGCCAAAAACGTTTTTCTCTCTTTCTCTCCCAAAATTCGTGTATCACCTTTTGTGATCTATTATTATCACTTGTTTCATGAAGCACTAGCCTTAATATAATATCTGGATCCTTTTTCAAAAAACAAATTTTCTACCCAAAAATAATTAATAATTATTTTTACTAGAAAATCTTTTTGAACCAAAAGATCACAAACTTTTTGGGCTAGGTTCTATGAACCTTATCCACGAATTTCCTTAGGAGAAGGACTCCAAAAATTCGTCCACTTATCTTTAGGAGATAAGGTTGTTGGTTTCAATTCAAATCAAGATCCTTTGATCTTCCAAAAGTCCAAATCCTATCTTGATTCAAACTCCTTTTAAAGATTTGAATTTAAATAAGATTCTCTTGTTTGGATTTTAAATAAATATTTTCCACAAACATTATCCATATTAATTAATTTAATCAAATGGAATATTCTAGATTTTCTTTCTCTAAAAAAAAAAGTGAACCATCTCTTTTAAATGAAAAAAATCTATCAAATAAGCTCCATTGTTTAAAACTAATTAATAATTAATATTAGGAATATATTTTAAACTATTTTGAAACAAAATCTATTTCCCTCCATCCATTAAAATTCGTTCACTTTAAATAGGAGAGAATAAATTTTGTTTTTTCAAAATTAAACAATTCAAACACAATCTTATTTCCAAAATTCAATTAACCAAAATAATTAACAAATAATTATTTTATCCACAACCAATCATATGTCGACAAATCATTATGTTTGTCCACATTAATTTCACATGTCCAATCCTTTCAGAATTGCATGCAAGAGAGTACCATGTCTTTATCAGACACTACTTAATTTCCATTTAGCTTACCGATCTCATTAAGAACGAATCCCGAGACGCTTCGTGGAACTATATGAGCTAGTAGAGGGACCCGATGGAAATATGTAAAGAGGCTCCTATAATTGTGAAAAATTAATCCCCGATTAATTATTCAACAATTATCAACTTCAGGACTATACCACTAAAAGTCTAAAGCCGAATTCCCGTTTACATACCATATTACGAAAGCTCTCTTACGTAGTGCTTCTTCCATGATCATTCATCACTCGCTTAATCCCCATATGTTATCCATGATTGAATTAAGGACTTATTCCGTTTTACCTTTTCAATCATTTTAACTTAAAGTTCCATTATTCTCCATTGAAAGAACCACCGATTGTAAAACCATACAATCGATAAACCACTAGAGGACACAAAGTAAACCGATGGCCAAGGCCTTGTTATTCTGTCTTTCAATCCCCGAATAATGCCTTCAAGTAGATAACATTTACCATCTACTAGATGGCTATGGTTTTCGTATCTATAAATCTTGATTTCTCCATCCATATGTCATACACCCAACACACAAGTATATTAACCATCAATTATCAGTGTCTCACCTATAGTGGATCAAAGTGCATGAGTCATGGATGCGAACTCAAGTATCCATTTCAGGATTAAGATTAATGAAGGATGATAATCAAAGCGTCATTGATTCTTATAAACAGAATCATTAAACCGATCAATTAACACTTTAGGTGCAGTCCAATGTCATACCTCAATA